CAAATCCATGTAACAGTTACTTTGTCTAGCCCACATTTTACCAGCTTTACCAGGAGACTCCATTACTCTCTGAGTATTCCACTGTTGAACAGCCCTTACTGTCAGGAAGTTCCTCCTAATGTTGAGGTGGAATCTCTTTTCCTGGAGCTTGCATCCATTGTTCTGGGTCCTAGTTTCTGGGCCGGCAGAAAAGAAGCTTGCTCCCTCCTCAATATGACACTCTTTCATATACTTAAACAGGACTATCATATCACCTCTTAACCATCTCTTCTAAACATACCCAGTTCTCTAAGTCATTCCTCATAAGGCATGGTTTCCAGACCCTTCACCATTTTAGTCACCCTTCTCTGGACACAGTTCCATCTTATCCACATCCTTTTTGAATTGAACTGCACACAATATTCCAGGTGGGACCTGACCAGAGCAGAATACAGTGGCACTATTACTTCCCTTGACAGATAACCCTTGTGGTCCCTTCCAACTCTAGGATTCTGTGCACTCATGTGCTGTGCAATGTACAGCAATGTGCATGCATGGTAATCCATATGTGATGGGTGACCATATCCACCTGCAATCAAACATAAATTCTCTGAAAATCTTTGAATTCATAAATCAGCACCAGCAGCCTTTCTACTTGGGTGGAGAAAAGAGAAAGGATGACCACCAGTAGCCAACTCTAATGGGTTTTACATTTCAGCTAGGCTGACAAACTTCATCATGCTAGGAACTTGGGCACGAGTTTCCTTGTTTTCCTTTTCCCTCCCCATCCCTTCTTCCTTTGGTGTTGTGTCTACTTAGAATGTAAGCCTAATGGCACAGACAAGATACAGGTTACTCTGAGATCCTTTCCATCCATGGAGTGAGGTGAGGCATAAATGCCAAAAACCAGGGGTGGGCAATGTGCAAGATGCCACATGAGGTCCCCAGGTTGTTTTAGAGACCCTCAATCCCTCTAGACTCCACAAATAGTTCCTTGTCTGAACGAACAAAGGTGAATTTTTAATCTTTTCCAATGTTCGGTCCAACTTTTCAAAACACTGAACACCCCAAGAAACTGTAGAAATAGTGATTTTTCAAAATCAGAAGTCGCCATCTCTATCAGCTAGGGAGAGTATTTTTGGAAGCTTAAACAGAAGGTCCCATGGAAAGACCTTGTTGCTCAACTCACCCACTCACCCCCCATAATCTGGTAATGAGTTTAAAAGAGAAAATCCCCAAAACACAATTATCTGACCTATGGAGTACAGCCTGTTTGTTGTGGGATTCAATGGGATTCAAGGGGGATCTTGGCCAATTGGAGCATGTCCAGAGGAGGGCAACCAAAACAATGCAAAGTCT